ATTCAGCGTTGCCAGATTTGGCTACTTTGCGCCAAATTGGGCTACTTTTTTTTTAGTTTGGCGTTAAAAAAAGCATTTGGCGCCCTGGCTACTTTTTGGGCTACGAAAATTTGACTTGGCTACATTTTGGGCTGGTTAAACAAATTATTTCATCCTTTGTTTTGCACCTAGAGTGGTAATACCTGTGAGCTGTCTACTCGTTTCGTTTTTAAACATAAATAAATTATAAAACTTATATAAATTATACTATTATTGGTATTAAAATGGGCAAATGGACAAAGTATTCTCGGTCCTTTCGTAAAGAATGGCTTCAAGATAAAAACCTTAAAGGTTAGTTTTTTTTTTTTTTTCACTTTTAATAGATCTTCCATATATCGCAGTTGATGGTTTATTTTAAAATAATTCGATATATAGAAACTTCAATGTACAGAAGCTTATTACATTATTATAATAATTACTAAACGAAACTATTTGAGCTACAGAGGACGCCATGTTGCTTTCCACCGTAAACTACTACAATGCAGACTGCACGTGTGAAATTTCACGCCTTATAAAATGAAAAAATAACAATCGGTGCAGCTATATTTAACAAATAAAAGCATTCATTTTAAATTATTTTTAATTTTTTATGTAGTTTTTCTGTAAAAACACTTTTTGGGGAGTATTAAGGAAATTATTTCTCGAAAATTTTTTTGATGTCAGTTTCGCATTTGAGTGGAAATAATTATTTAATATGATAAATAAAATTCTTAGGGGTTTTCCAAGTGCCGTTTTTGTTGCTGGAAGAGTACCCAAAGGGGCTAATATAAAAACCATTGTCTGTATGTGAATTTCTTATAACTTCTGCAATTTTTGTCCTATACATGTAAAATTTTGGCTGTAGTCGTTTTATGTTGTGATTAAAGTATGGGTTATTTATTTGTCTAATTGATTAACTCCAAAAAACAAAAAGTATAGAAATTGATAAAATAATATAGGCCTTCTTTCTTTTCTAGAATTTAAATTTAAATAAATATTTAGTAATGTTAAGCCTAATTATTAAAAAAGTTTATTTCAAATATAAAATGTTAAGCATCATTCAAGTACTTTAGCACTAAAATTTAAAAGATTCAAAAAGTGAACTTAATCGATTTCGCCTGTGAACGGCTCATAAGGAGGTCCCACTGTATTTCACTAGCTTCATTCAAAGATGATTTATTTTTAAAAATTGGTCACGTTGTTATCAATTAAATTAAATTTGTTTTTCAGATTGGATTTCAGAAGATCCAACAGCAGAGGACCATGTTTTCTGTAAATATTGCAAGTGTAGTGTACGTGCACATTATTCTGATTTAATGAAACATGTTGCTACAAAGAAACATAAGTCTAATGAAGTTCAGTGTGGTAAGTTTCAGCCTCTGAATGTACTTGAAGTGCCTAGAGTATTGCCATTAGCAAAAATTCGCAGAGAGGCTCGAATTGCTCTGTTTGCTGCAATGAGCACATCTATAAACTCTGTTGATACTCTTGGAGAAATTCTGAATGATGAGTTTAAAGATGTAAGCAATGGCAAAGAAACATTTCATATGCATCGTACGAAATGTTCTGCTCTAATAAAAAATGTTTTGGGACCTTATCTACAGCAGAAACATCTAGAAGATTTGAAAACAGCAACAAAATTCTCTCTTATGATAGATGAGTCAACTGACGTATCCGATTCAAAGCTCCTTGCTCTCTGCTCCAAACATTACAGCAGAGAATCGGGAAAAATGATCACTTGCTTCCTTGACGTGGTTGAAATTCAAGATGGATGTGCTACAACTATGCACGATGCAGTTGTGTATAAAATGCAAGAGCTGGGTCTAGACAAAAATAAATTGATTGGAATTGCAACTGATGGTGCTGCTTCTATGTGTGGAAGAAACAACTCTCTTTATACACATTTGAGAGACTTTTGTGGGTATGATCTGATACATGTTAAATGCATCTGCCACTCTTTGGATTTGGTGGCATCTGCAGCGAAGGATGAGCTGCCAAGTAATATCAGCTTCATGCTACAGGAAACAACTGAACATTTTTCTCACAGTACACTGCGTAAGAATATCTACAAACATCTATTTCATGTGATGAATGATACTACTGATGAAGTTTCAGCTGACCCATTAAAGTTAACAACCCCAAGCAAGACACGATGGCTATCTATTTCTCTTTGTGTAGAAAGAATTCTTAATCAGTATGAAGACCTGAAGTTATATTTTTCAGTTTATCCTGCAAAGGACTACAAGATACGTCTTCTTAGTGAAATGTACGGAGATGCTAGAAATAAAGCATATTTGCTTTTTCTGGATCCCATTCTTTCGGAACTCCGGAGAGTCAACTTACTTTTTCAAAGTGAAAATATAGATACTTTCGCAGCTATTAATGAATTACAGTCACTGTTTATATCATTTGCAAAAAGAATTATAAAACCTTCAGTCATAAATAACCATTCTCTAGAACAGTTCTTGTGCATGGATTTGATGAATTTAAAATCAGTGTACTTGCTCATACCTGACTGTGACTTGGGTACAAATTTTCACAGTTTTCTCGAAACTTCATCATTTTCAGTTCATTCAAAATTTGAGATTAAGGAAAGATGCTTTAATTTTTTAAAAACAACAATTCATCAATTACAAATTCGGCTACCAAATTCAATACAGTGGTCAAATCTAGTGGAAAGTGTGCGACCTGCAAAACTTTTACAGATTTACGAAATTGAATCAATCATAAAAAACATTTCCAAAATACCGAAATCCATATGCGATTTTAACAGCGTGGAATTAGAGAAGATGATACGCTGTGTCCAAAACATTCCAGGAATTACTCCAGACACAACGGGAGAACATTTTTGGAAAACAGTTATTGAATATAAGGATACTGCAGGTAATAATCCTGCAACACGACTTGCTGAAGCAGCGTTGAATATACTTACACTACCGATATCAAATGCTTCAGTAGAAAGAGCTTTTTCTGCTGTTAATTATTTAAAAAGTGACACAAGGAACAGAATGGGGTTGCAACTTTTACGTGCACTCCTTCACATTCGATTTTATTTACTTTCCAGAGACATACGTGTGAGTGAATGCAAATTACCTGAAGAATTACTTAAAAGTATTAATAGTTCTATGTATGATTAAGGCATATTATAAATTATAACAACAATTATGTAGGTTATAAAAATATAATCTGTATATTTATTGTGTTGCATTTATTCCATTAGTTTTTAAGCCTGAATAAATAGAATACTTACAAACCGATGTTAATGTTTTAAATTTTAAATACTGCACCTATTGAATCTAATGCTTTATACATGTTGACTGTGGCATTTAGCTCGAGAGCAGGGTTGTTCCAAGCCTTTCTAAAAGGGTACTAAAAAGAGTATTAGATAACAAAAAATGGTATTAAGTTTTCTTTAAAAAATCGACTAGTGACGTGAGATAGTATTTTTTTAAATCGATATTAATATCGATAATACGACATACGTACAGTACTTTCAGAATCAATACATTATGTCAAAATGATCTATTCACTAATGCAGGCATTACTTTGACCGTAAACTGCTGAATGTATGTATATATTATATATTATTTAAATATATACTTATAAATAATATATAAATTTATAATTTTTCAAATTTCTATTTATTAAAATATATATAGTGTTACATGTTACATACAAAATTCACACAGGCTAAATTCATATATTGCAAGAATGCTATTATTCTTCAACAACAATCAAATAAACAAAATGTTGAAAAAAGTAATGAACACAAAGTACTAAACTTTAAAATTATCACCTTGAAAAATCACTGGTAAGATCATCATCATCAGAATCTTCCTCACTGGAATGTTTTTGTATGGTTGAAGCAGATAGTGATTTCCTGTGTAACATTTATCTTTGTTGCTTTTAAGTAGCTTCTTTGCTAATAACAGTGCTTCAAGGCATAGGTAAAAACTCGATTTTGTATAGTTTTTATTAAATGTAATTGTAAAAAATACGTTCAACTGCTGCACTTGAATGAGGAAGCAATAAAAAAAAATCTATTTACTGCCAAAGTAAAGTAAAATAATACAGAAATATAGAATAAAAATGAATGTTTTGAAAGGAAAGGTATTAGGATTTTATGAATGGTACTAGAAATATGGTGTTGGGTATCTTGGTGCTATGACAAGCAGATTAGTACAAAAGTACTAGGTAAAACAACACCTAGTACAAAAGTAGCCCAAAAGTAGCCAACTGTTCCTGCAGTTGGCTACTTTTGGGCTACTTTTTAAAAATTATTTGGCTACAAGGACAAAAAACTTCTGGCAACGCTGATACAGCAGTGTCAAAGCCGCTTTATGTAACTTTTCAACTGCGGTTGCTTTGGATACGCAGCGTAAACTGGGTGTAGTCGATATAATTTAGTTTAAGTTTATCTTAACTGAAAAAGCGGAACATCTGAATGCATTTGTGTATATTGTTAGTGAGTGAATATATATATTTTTTAAAATCATAATATGCATTGAATTTTAAACGAATATGATTTTGTTACTAGCAATGTGAAAAGATAAACAAATCGCATTATTTGCTTTCTCTTTTCTGAAATAATTATACAAGTTCTTGAGTTAATAGAGAGGTAAGTAATCATATTAAAACCTATAGTTAACATTTATTTTAATATAATTATTTATTTCATAAGCAACTAATTACAATTGCAGAAATATCGTATTTTTCGCTCGTATTGAATAGCATTGGCGGATATTAGAGGTTTAGCACGAAAGAATAAACGTGACTTGTTTACTTTAACATATTTTATCTCACACATTTTAAAATCGAAAGAGATCAATTAGAAACCGAAACAGAAACCGAAACCGAAACCACTGTAATGTGTATTGTGCTTTCGTCTAGTGTTTAGAAATATATCTATTTTATTGCTCGAAATTTCGTATTTTATTTTATGGTATCGTAATTAAATAATTTATTAAAATAATAATAATTCTTTTGATGTTAATTTAAGAATAATGATATTAGTATGTATTTCTTAATTAAAATTATTATTACTAGGCTCTTGTTTAGGATTTTGTTTAACAGAAAGAAATTTTTCGTGGCAAAGTTTATTAATTTTTACGAATTAAGTGTAGCGTAACACAACACAACACAGTAGACTAAGGAAGAATTGATCGCATGAGAAATAAATGTTATATTTACGTTTTATGTATTATTTACTTAATTACCGTAATCTAATTTTGGTTAAAGTGTACATCTAGGTAACCTCAATGCCGTCGGTTCGGTTAGGTTTGGTTATATTAACTATATTTTTAGTAGACGTTTCCTTTTTATTTATTTTGCTCAAGAACTACCGTGAATCAATAACTAGTGACGTTAACACTCGGCGGTCTACCGGTGGCGCCCCTCCGGGAGGAGTCCGTCGGGAGCACGAACAGTCGGAAGCGCCGCCATTGGGGTTACCTAAGTACACTTTGACCCTAATTTTTTAAAATTATTTTCAAATGGTGGAGTTAAATCCAACGTCTGTAGAATAACAGGTTGTCGTATACGGGAAACATGCTTGCCATTTGTGAAGTTCTAGACGAGTCCAAATCTCGTTAAACGCGCTGAAAAAAATGCTTTAATTATCGAAAGGAAATATGGCACGAAGCAACGCGCACGTAAACAATATAAGTCTGAGCACAGTCTAACCAGCGTTGCCATAGGAAATTTCAAAACGTACTGAAGCTCCTTCAAAAAATGTACTACAGTATTTTTATAGTTGGTTGCTTTTGATATTAATATACCATCATGAGTGCTTTTTTAACGTTTTTTTCTTAATGATGAAATGCAAATACAATCAAGGTGTGACTTGAAAAGGTTAATATTTAAATATAAAACAAAATATTTAAAATTAAATATTTCATTAAAAAAATTTTATGAAAATAGTTTGTATGGTTTTTTGTTAAATACAGCATTAAAAGTTGATTTTTTAAAAATATAATAGTGATGCATAAAAAAAAAATATATAAATTAAATATGCGTGGACAGATTCAAATTAACAAAAGTTATTTCTTTTACTAAGATTACTGAAATCAAAGTTCATAATTTAAGAATTATAGTGTTAGAAAATAATGTAAAAGTACAGTGTAGGGCCATTAAACATTTAATCCGCGATAGTGCATAGCACGTCAATCACGGACATTCGAAATGCCAAAATGATAGCTGTCAACATCTGTCTGGAGTGTTTGAGAGGCCATGTCCAGGTCCGTACGAGCCATAGTGTCAAAAAGTTTGGAATTCAAGCTTTTTGCGCGGCTTAAGCGTATTCGCGGATTACTGGCCCGCGGCTTAATGGTCCTACATTGTATATATTATTTATACTCGTACAATTTCAAAACTATTGGTCGAAAGTTTACTTAGGTAGTCCAAAATGTTCGCACTTCCAACTGTTCATGCTCCCAAAGGGCTTTTCCCAGAAGGGGCCACCGGCAGGCCGCAGAGTTTATAACGTCACTAGTTATTGATTCACGGTAATTCTTGAACAAAAAAATAGGAAACCTCTACTAAAAATATAGTTAATCTAATCTAACCTAAGCTAACCTAACCTAACCCAACCGAAGCTCAGCCATTTTGGACTACCTAAGTAAATTTTAACTATTGATTTCCTTACCTGTCCATTATTTTTGTTTGACAGAGTTGAATTGTTTGAACCACGTGGCATGAAAAATTTTCTCAAGGTCCTAATGAGAATGTGCAGACGATTGAAACGTGTGAAAGAGGACCACTGCGTCAAGACATTTGCACGTGCAACTATGACTGGTGGCGTGTCCCTAAACTGAACATCAGATACACTCCGATACGAGCCATGTTAGGCGAATCCGTGCTATACGAAACAAAATGACTAATGCAAAACGTAGGTTTACGTTCTAGAAGTTAACAAAAGTATACTATTGTTTTTCGTTACTAAGAGAAATATGTTCATTAAAGCAATCAATACTTTATTTCCAATCAATAATTGAGCCGTTGATTTTGAAAGTGGGCAAGTCTATTTTATGCTATTGCTAGATATTTAATGGTTTGCATTTGAATAAGTTTAAAAATATTCGTAAACAGTAATAGACTTATTTTGTATTTTTTTGAGTTATTTCATGTAAATTTAATATGCAATAATGGTTATCTGTGTTAGGTGAAAAAAAATCATAATTTTGGTTTGCGCCAATGGACTTGCCTCACTTTCAAAACCAACGACTCAATTAACTAACAAGCACAAGTAAAAGTACTGTTAGCCTAATATTTTATTTAAACGAGAGCGTTTTCTCTTTTTAAAGTAACGTTAGAAGTATCGTATTGTACGAGGGATACCTGTATTAACATTTTACATAAACTTAGATAATTAGGACAAACAAACATAGGCATATTAGACGTATATTCTGCACGCACATAAATTATATCATACATATCAAGTTTATTACTTTTGGCAGGTATAATGTGATGTTTGTTGAATTTTTATGGCAGATTAGTTCTCATATACTGTTATATTCTAGTTATTTTAGGGGTTATCATACAAAAAAACCTGAGATCGTTGTTTTATTGTAAAACTATCAAGGAAAATATATGTCATTCAACTTCGTCATCTAAAATGTGTGTGTTGAAAAATTGATAGAAAAAATTTTAAGTCAAAGGTTTTTAAAAAGGGGGACAAGAAGCTACGCGACAGATATAAAATTATATGGCATACGAGGTATATTTATATATGTCTACCTCATAACGTATATGAGGTAGATATTAGTTACAGTTTGCTTTTTATCAATTGTATTTTTTAAAGATTTTGCGGTTCGTAAAAGATTAAGGAACATCTGTAAAAGACTAAGAAAAATTTTTAATTTGCAGTAAGAAGATTATAGCTAAGACAAAGGAAAATGTAACAGAAAAGAAAACAGGTGCATTAAGTATTTTAGCAAATCTATCTCAGAAAATGTAGATATGTAAGTGGAGTACAGCAAAATGAAGATGATAACACTAAAGGAAGCATGTCTGAAAATATAAATAACTTTATTGTAGATTTTTACTTTCCTGACTGTTATAGGCTACATAACAGAGGGAAAGTGTGGCGATCAGTCAAAAAATGACCCCACCCAAAAATTTTTACATTTTTGGACTCGGGACCTATAAATGCCGAGAAATACAAAAAAAAAAGTTCGGATGTTTTTTCTATATATGAATGTTAGTGTGTCGTGTGTGTGTAGCACGATTTTGTTCGCACTCTTTGAAGCTTAACTCCTGTGTTTTTTGTCGAAATTTTTTGAAATTTTGCTGTGAGCTTTGTGTATTAGTGAATTTATGCTAGAATCATATCTCGCGTAGGATCAGACTTAATAACGATTTTACTTGTTATTAGCATTTACATTGTTTTTCCTTTTTTTTTCTTTTTATAAAACTCATCGATATTTTCAAAATTAAGCAATTTGCTATTTTATAATAGTTAAAAATTAAAAAAAAAGCTTTTTAAAGAAAATATAAGAACAGATGGCGCCACTAAACTTGCCTGGAACGTTAAGCAACTTGTTGCTGGAATTTTTAGATAATCCATAAACGAGTTATCCATTGTTTATCATTTGTGCGGAATTTTCACTAAATTTTAATTTTCTATTGATCTGTGTTTATTTTTAAGTGAGCGTTTGATTTATTTTAAAATGACTACTCTTGTTTTCAATTGTCCAAAAACAAATGCCTATTTTAATCACAATTTGTGTTAACTTCAATATTTTATGTGTATGCCATAAAAGGAACACCAGTTCCAAATATGGCCTAATATATAGTCTCTATTTCGAAAATGCTTTATTTTTGATAACTAATGCAATAGTTCGATTTTGATTTTTTTTTCAGTAATACGTTAACAGTTGTTCTAATATATGGTGTATAGAATTTTCTATTTCGTAAGTCCAGTTTGTTAAAAAAAATATCAAAGTTTCGCTAGGCCGTAATAAAACTAATTTATTTTGTACACAACAAGAACATAAAATATTTAATTAACCCAGTAAAAGCGTATTTTCTTTCTTTTCAGTTGTAAGAAGAAAACGTAACTTTAACATTCAAACAGTAGATTATCAAACGTTGAAGTGAGAAATGGCCATCATTAACTACGTGCGGGAATTACGTATTGAATTTTTCTTGTTTTTAATCATATTTGTTATCTCGTTGAAAAGTGTATCTCAACAGAGTTTAATATTAGAACGAGTGTGCAGATTCCATTTTGGTTATTCGGAAAAAATATGCAATAATCTTACAGAATATGATTCCATTCAAGCATCTGTACAGAAAATTTCTACTCGTTACAATCTAGGAAGCGCGTNCTTTATGAAGGCATAGAGCCTTTACTACATGAAAATGAAAATTAATGAATACACTGTGTACAGTAATTTACCTGATAAGACAGACCTCAGAAAAATACTTTATGAGAGCTTTCATACTTTTATAAAGCTGTCTATAATGAAATTTAATTAACTAAAGATTTTTTTGCCCTGCCAGGGTGTGGCCGAGTTATCCGGAGTGCCCGGTTATCGAGAGCCGACTTTTCGAGGTTCGAACTTCAAATAACTGTATTTGAAGTTCAGAAACGGGAAAAATGACTTTGAACTAAGAATAGTAGTCGACTACTATTCTGTTCAATTAGAATTACTGTTTGCAATTACAGTTTCTCATAGTAATCAATAATATTTATTTTCGTTGCTACTCGAGATCAGGCTGAAATTTTAAAATTTCAACCTGATCTCGAGAACGGAGTAGACTGATGAAAGTCGAGACCAGATATCGAACCGAAGGCTTGATTAATTTAACTATATACGAACTTCTGATTTGGACCGAAAGTCACGGTGTTTCAATTCAAAAATTTTCTCCAAAACGGAGATGACTCTATTGTTAAGAAGAAAGTATGATGTCAGGGGCAAGATACCACTAAAATCAACAGCATTGTGCATTACTGCGAAGATAATACGATTGGCGACATAAGCATTTGCCTTTAGAAAGAGGTCGATGCGCACATTAAAGCGACTATGAACAGCCATATAAGCAAGCCAATGATATAGCTCGTTTTATTTGAAACGGACTATGTCATTGGTTTCAGCGTTGCCAGATTTGGCTACTTTGCGCCAAATTGGGCTACTTTTTTTTTAGTTTGGCGTTAAAAAAAGCATTTGGCGCCCTGGCTACTTTTTGGGCTACGAAAATTTGACTTGGCTACATTTTGGGCTGGTTAAACAAATTATTTCATCCTTTGTTTTGCACCTAGAGTGGTAATACCTGTGAGCTGTCTACTCGTTTCGTTTTTAAACATAAATAAATTATAAAACTTATATAAATTATACTATTATTGGTATTAAAATGGGCAAATGGACAAAGTATTCTCGGTCCTTTCGTAAAGAATGGCTTCAAGATAAAAACCTTAAAGGTAAGGTTTTTTTTTTTTTTTTCACTTTTAATAGATCTTCCATATATCGCAGTTGATGGTTTATTTTAAAATAATTCGATATATAGAAACTTCAATGTACAGAAGCTTATTACATTATTATAATAATTACTAAACGAAACTATTTGAGCTACAGAGGACGCCATGTTGCTTTCCACCGTAAACTACTACAATGCAGACTGCACGTGTGAAATTTCACGCCTTATAAAATGAAAAAATAACAATCGGTGCAGCTATATTTAACAAATAAAAGCATTCATTTTAAATTATTTTTAATTTTTTATGTAGTTTTTCTGTAAAAACACTTTTTGGGGAGTATTAAGGAAATTATTTCTCGAAAATTTTTTTGATGTCAGTTTCGCATTTGAGTGGAAATAATTATTTAATATGATAAATAAAATTCTTAGGGGTTTTCCAAGTGCCGTTTTTGTTGCTGGAAGAGTACCCAAAGGGGCTAATATAAAAACCATTGTCTGTATGTGAATTTCTTATAACTTCTGCAATTTTTGTCCTATACATGTAAAATTTTGGCTGTAGTCGTTTTATGTTGTGATTAAAGTATGGGTTATTTATTTGTCTAATTGATTAACTCCAAAAAACAAAAAGTATAGAAATTGATAAAATAATATAGGCCTTCTTTCTTTTCTAGAATTTAAATTTAAATAAATATTTAGTAATGTTAAGCCTAATTATTAAAAAAGTTTATTTCAAATATAAAATGTTAAGCATCATTCAAGTACTTTAGCACTAAAATTTAAAAGATTCAAAAAGTGAACTTAATCGATTTCGCCTGTGAACGGCTCATAAGGAGGTCCCACTGTATTTCACTAGCTTCATTCAAAGATGATTTATTTTTAAAAATTGGTCACGTTGTTATCAATTAAATTAAATTTGTTTTTCAGATTGGATTTCAGAAGATCCAACAGCAGAGGACCATGTTTTCTGTAAATATTGCAAGTGTAGTGTACGTGCACATTATTCTGATTTAATGAAACATGTTGCTACAAAGAAACATAAGTCTAATGAAGTTCAGTGTGGTAAGTTTCAGCCTCTGAATGTACTTGAAGTGCCTAGAGTATTGCCATTAGCAAAAATTCGCAGAGAGGCTCGAATTGCTCTGTTTGCTGCAATGAGCACATCTATAAACTCTGTTGATACTCTTGGAGAAATTCTGAATGATGAGTTTAAAGATGTAAGCAATGGCAAAGAAACATTTCATATGCATCGTACGAAATGTTCTGCTCTAATAAAAAATGTTTTGGGACCTTATCTACAGCAGAAACATCTAGAAGATTTGAAAACAGCAACAAAATTCTCTCTTATGATAGATGAGTCAACTGACGTATCCGATTCAAAGCTCCTTGCTCTCTGCTCCAAACATTACAGCAGAGAATCGGGAAAAATGATCACTTGCTTCCTTGACGTGGTTGAAATTCAAGATGGATGTGCTACAACTATGCACGATGCAGTTGTGTATAAAATGCAAGAGCTGGGTCTAGACAAAAATAAATTGATTGGAATTGCAACTGATGGTGCTGCTTCTATGTGTGGAAGAAACAACTCTCTTTATACACATTTGAGAGACTTTTGTGGGTATGATCTGATACATGTTAAATGCATCTGCCACTCTTTGGATTTGGTGGCATCTGCAGCGAAGGATGAGCTGCCAAGTAATATCAGCTTCATGCTACAGGAAACAACTGAACATTTTTCTCACAGTACACTGCGTAAGAATATCTACAAACATCTATTTCATGTGATGAATGATACTACTGATGAAGTTTCAGCTGACCCATTAAAGTTAACAACCCCAAGCAAGACACGATGGCTATCTATTTCTCTTTGTGTAGAAAGAATTCTTAATCAGTATGAAGACCTGAAGTTATATTTTTCAGTTTATCCTGCAAAGGACTACAAGATACGTCTTCTTAGTGAAATGTACGGAGATGCTAGAAATAAAGCATATTTGCTTTTTCTGGATCCCATTCTTTCGGAACTCCGGAGAGTCAACTTACTTTTTCAAAGTGAAAATATAGATACTTTCGCAGCTATTAATGAATTACAGTCACTGTTTATATCATTTGCAAAAAGAATTATAAAACCTTCAGTCATAAATAACCATTCTCTAGAACAGTTCTTGTGCATGGATTTGATGAATTTAAAATCAGTGTACTTGCTCATACCTGACTGTGACTTGGGTACAAATTTTCACAGTTTTCTCGAAACTTCATCATTTTCAGTTCATTCAAAATTTGAGATTAAGGAAAGATGCTTTAATTTTTTAAAAACAACAATTCATCAATTACAAATTCGGCTACCAAATTCAATACAGTGGTCAAATCTAGTGGAAAGTGTGCGACCTGCAAAACTTTTACAGATTTACGAAATTGAATCAATCATAAAAAACATTTCCAAAATACCGAAATCCATATGCGATTTTAACAGCGTGGAATTAGAGAAGATGATACGCTGTGTCCAAAACATTCCAGGAATTACTCCAGACACAACGGGAGAACATTTTTGGAAAACAGTTATTGAATATAAGGATACTGCAGGTAATAATCCTGCAACACGACTTGCTGAAGCAGCGTTGAATATACTTACACTACCGATATCAAATGCTTCAGTAGAAAGAGCTTTTTCTGCTGTTAATTATTTAAAAAGTGACACAAGGAACAGAATGGGGTTGCAACTTTTACGTGCACTCCTTCACATTCGATTTTATTTACTTTCCAGAGACATACGTGTGAGTGAATGCAAATTACCTGAAGAATTACTTAAAAGTATTAATAGTTCTATGTATGATTAAGGCATATTATAAATTATAACAACAATTATGTAGGTTATAAAAATATAATCTGTATATTTATTGTGTTGCATTTATTCCATTAGTTTTTAAGCCTGAATAAATAGAATACTTACAAACCGATGTTAATGTTTTAAATTTTAAATACTGCACCTATTGAATCTAATGCTTTATACATGTTGACTGTGGCATTTAGCTCGAGAGCAGGGTTGTTCCAAGCCTTTCTAAAAGGGTACTAAAAAGAGTATTAGATAACAAAAAATGGTATTAAGTTTTCTTTAAAAAATCGACTAGTGACGTGAGATAGTATTTTTTTAAATCGATATTAATATCGATAATACGACATACGTACAGTACTTTCAGAATCAATACATTATGTCAAAATGATCTATTCACTAATGCAGGCATTACTTTGACCGTAAACTGCTGAATGTATGTATATATTATATATTATTTAAATATATACTTATAAATAATATATAAATTTATAATTTTTCAAATTTCTATTTATTAAAATATATATAGTGTTACATGTTACATACAAAATTCACACAGGCTAAATTCATATATTGCAAGAATGCTATTATTCTTCAACAACAATCAAATAAACAAAATGTTGAAAAAAGTAATGAACACAAAGTACTAAACTTTAAAATTATCACCTTGAAAAATCACTGGTAAGATCATCATCATCAGAATCTTCCTCACTGGAATGTTTTTGTATGGTTGAAGCAGATAGTGATTTCCTGTGTAACATTTATCTTTGTTGCTTTTAAGTAGCTTCTTTGCTAATAACAGTGCTTCAAGGCATAGGTAAAAACTCGATTTTGTATAGTTTTTATTAAATGTAATTGTAAAAAATACGTTCAACTGCTGCACTTGAATGAGGAAGCAATAAAAAAAAATCTATTTACTGCCAAAGTAAAGTAAAATAATACAGAAATATAGAATAAAAATGAATGTTTTGAAAGGAAAGGTATTAGGATTTTATGAATGGTACTAGAAATATGGTGTTGGGTATCTTGGTGCTATGACAAGCAGATTAGTACAAAAGTACTAGGTAAAACAACACCTAGTACAAAAGTAGCCCAAAAGTAGCCAACTGTTCCTGCAGTTGGCTACTTTTGGGCTACTTTTTAAAAATTATTTGGCTACAAGGACAAAAAACTTCTGGCAACGCTGATACAGCAGTGTCAAAGCCGCTTTATGTAACTTTTCAACTGCGGTTGCTTTGGATACGCAGCGTAAACTGGGTGTAGTCGATATAATTTAGTTTAAGTTTATCTTAACTGAAAAAGCGGAACATCTGAATGCATTTGTGTATATTGTTAGTGAGTGAATATATATATTTTTTAAAATCATAATATGCATTGAATTTTAAACGAATATGATTTTGTTACTAGCAATGTGAAAAGATAAACAAATCGCATTATTTGCTTTCTCTTTTCTGAAATAATTATACAAGTTCTTGAGTTAATAGAGAGGTAAGTAATCATATTAAAACCTATAGTTAACATTTATTTTAATATAATTATTTATTTCATAAGCAACTAATTACAATTGCAGAAATATCGTATTTTTCGCTCGTATTGAATAGCATTGGCGGATATTAGAGGTTTAGCACGAAAGAATAAACGTGACTTGTTTACTTTAACATATTTTATCTCACACATTTTAAAATCGAAAGAGATCAATTAGAAACCGAAACAGAAACCGAAACCGAAACCACTGTAATGTGTATTGTGCTTTCGTCTAGTGTTTAGAAATATATCTATTTTATTGCTCGAAATTTCGTATTTTATTTTATGGTATCGTAATTAAATAATTTATTAAAATAATAATAATTCTTTTGATGTTAATTTAAGAATAATGATATTAGTATGTATTTCTTAATTAAAATTATTATTACTAGGCTCTTGTTTAGGATTTTGTTTAACAGAAAGAAATTTTTCGTGGCAAAGTTTATTAATTTTTACGAATTAAGTGTAGCGTAACACAACACAACACAGTAGACTAAGGAAGAATTGATCGCATGAGAAATAAATGTTATATTTACGTTTTATGTATTATTTACTTAATTACCGTAATCTAATTTTGGTTAAAGTGTACATCTAGGTAACCTCAATGCCGTCGGTTCGGTTAGGTTTGGTTATATTAACTATATTTTTAGTAGACGTTTCCTTTTTATTTATTTTGCTCAAGAACTACCGTGAATCAATAACTAGTGACGTTAACACTCGGCGGTCTACCGGTGGCGCCCCTCCGGGAGGAGTCCGTCGGGAGCACGAACAGTCGGAAGCGCCGCCATTGGGGTTACCTAAGTACACTTTGACCCTAATTTTTTAAAATTATTTTCAAATGGTGGAGTTAAATCCAACGTCTGTAGAATAACAGGTTGTCGTATACGGGAAACATGCTTGCCATTTGTGAAGTTCTAGACGAGTCCAAATCTCGTTAAACGCGCTGAAAAAATGCTTTAATTATCGAAAGGAAATATGGCACGAAGCAACGCGCACGTAAACAATATAAGTCTGAGCACAGTCTAACCAGCGTTGCCATAGGAAATTTCAAAACGTACTGAAGCTCCTTCAAAAAATGTACTACAGTATTTTTATAGTTGGTTGCTTTTGATATTAATATACCATCATGAGTGCTTTTTTAACGTTTTTTTCTTAATGATGAAATGCAAATACAATCAAGGTGTGACTTGAAAAGGTTAATATTTAAATATAAAACAAAATATTTAAAATTAAATATTTCATTAAAAAAATTTTATGAAAATAGTTTGTATGGTTTTTTGTTAAATACAGCATTAAAAGTTGATTTTTTAAAAATATAATAGTGATGCATAAAAAAAAAATATATAAATTAAATATGCGTGGACAGATTCAAATTAACAAAAGTTATTTCTTTTACTAAGATTACTGAAATCAAAGTTCATAATTTAAGAATTATAGTGTTAGAAAATAATGTAAAAGTACAGTGTAGGGCCATTAAACATTTAATCCGCGATAGTGCATAGCACGTCAATCACGGACATTCGAAATGCCAAAATGATAGCTGTCAACATCTGTCTGGAGTGTTTGAGAGGCCATGTCCAGGTCCGTACGAGCCATAGTGTCAAAAAGTTTGGAATTCAAGCTTTTTGCGCGGCTTAAGCGTATTCGCGGATTACTGGCCCGCGGCTTAATGGTCCTACATTGTATATATTATTTATACTCGTACAATTTCAAAACTATTGGTCGAAAGTTTACTTAGGTAGTCCAAAATGTTCGCACTTCCAACTGTTCATGCTCCCAAAGGGCTTTTCCCAGAAGGGGCCACCGGCAGGCCGCAGAGTTTATAACGTCACTAGTTATTGATTCACGGTAATTCTTGAACAAAAAAATAGGAAACCTCTACTAAAAATATAGTTAATCTAATCTAACCTAAGCTAACCTAACCTAACCCAACCGAAGCTCAGCCATTTTGGACTACCTAAGTAAATTTTAACTATTGATTTCCTTACCTGTCCATTATTTTTGTTTGACAGAGTTGAATTGTTTGAACCACGTGGCATGAAAAATTTTCTCAAGGTCCTAATGAGAATGTGCAGACGATTGAAACGTGTGAAAGAGGACCACTGAGTCAAGACATTTGCACGTGCAACTATGACTGGTGGCGTGTCCCTAAACTGAACATCAGATACACTCCGATACGAGCCATGTTAGGCGAATCCGTGCTATACGAAACAAAATGACTAATGCAAAACGTAGGTTTACGTTCTAGAAGTTAACAAAAGTATACTATTGTTTTTCGTTACTAAGAGAAATATGTTCATTAAAGCAATCAATACTTTATTTCCAATCAATAATTGAGCCGTTGATTTTGAAAGTGGGCAAGTCTACTTTATGCTATTGCTAGATATTTAATGGTTTGCATTTGAATAAGTTTAAAAATATTCGTAAACAGTAATAGACTTATTTTGTATTTTTTTGAGTTATTTCATGTAAATTTAATATGCAATAATGGTTATCTGTGTTAGGTGAAAAAAAATCATAATTTTGGTTTGCGCCAATGGACTTGCCTCACTTTCAAAACCAACGACTCAATTAACTAACAAGCACAAGTAAAAGTACTGTTAGCCTAATATTTTATTTAAACGAGAGCGTTTTCTCTTTTTAAAGTAACGTTAGAAGTATCGTATTGTACGAGGGATACCTGTATTAACATTTTACATAAACTTAGATAATTAGGACAAACAAACATAGGCATATTAGACGTATATTCTGCACGCACATAAATTATATCATACATATCAAGTTTATTACTTTTGGCAGGTATAATGTGATGTTTGTTGAATTTTTATGGCAGATTAGTTCTCATATACTGTTATATTCTAGTTATTTTAGGGGTTATCATACAAAAAAACCTGAGATCGTTGTTTTATTGTAAAACTATCAAGGAAAATATATGTCATTCAACTTCGTCATCTAAAATGTGTGTGTTGAAAAATTGATAGAAAAAATTTTAAGTCAAAGGTTTTTAAAAAGGGGGACAAGAAGCTACGCGACAGATATAAAATTATATGGCATACGAGGTATATTTATATATGTCTACCTCATAACGTATATGAGGTAGATATTAGTTACAGTTTGCTTTTTATCAATTGTATTTTTTAAAGATTTTGCGGTTCGTAAAAGATTAAGGAACATCTGTAAAAGACTAAGAAAAATTTTTAATTTGCAGTAAGAAGATTATAGCTAAGACAAAGGAAAATGTAACAGAAAAGAAAACAGGTGCATTAAGTATTTTAGCAAATCTATCTCAGAAAATGTAGATATGTAAGTGGAGTACAGCAAAATGAAGATGATAACACTAAAGGAAGCATGTCTGAAAATATAAATAACTTTATTGTAGATTTTTACTTTCCTGACTGTTATAGGCTACATAACAGAGGGAAAGTGTGGCGATCAGTCAAAAAATGACCCCACCCAAAAATTTTTACATTTTTGGACTCGGGACCTATAAATGCCGAGAAATACAAAAAAAAAAAAGTTCGGATGTTTTTTCTATATATGAATGTTAGTGTGTCGTGTGTGTGTAGCACGATTTTGTTCGCACTCTTTGAAGCTTAACTCCTGTGTTTTTTGTCGAAATTTTTTGAAATTTTGCTGTGAGCTTTGTGTATTAGTGAATTTATGCTAGAATCATATCTCGCGTAGGATCAGACTTAATAACGATTTTACTTGTTATTAGCATTTACATTGTTTTTCCTTTTTTTTTCTTTTTATAAAACTCATCGATATTTTCAAAATTAAGCAATTTGCTATTTTATAATAGTTAAAAATTAAAAAAAAAGCTTTTTAAAGAAAATATAAGAACAGATGGCGCCACTAAACTTGCCTGGAACGTTAAGCAACTTGTTGCTGGAATTTTTAGATAATCCATAAACGAGTTATCCATTGTTTATCATTTGTGCGGAATTTTCACTAAATTTTAATTTTCTATTGATCTGTGTTTATTTTTAAGTGAGCGTTTGATTTATTTTAAAATGACTACTCTTGTTTTCAATTGTCCAAAAACAAATGCCTATTTTAATCACAATTTGTGTTAACTTCAATATTTTATGTGTATGCCATAAAAGGAACACCAGTTCCAAATATGGCCTAATATATAGTCTCTATTTCGAAAATGCTTTATTTTTGATAACTAATGCAATAGTTCGATTTTGATTTTTTTTTCAGTAATACGTTAACAGTTGTTCTAATATATGGTGTATAGAATTTTCTATTTCGTAAGTCCAGTTTGTTAAAAAAAATATCAAAGTTTCGCTAGGCCGTAATAAAACTAATTTATTTTGTACACAACAAGAACATAAAATATTTAATTAACCCAGTAAAAGCGTATTTTCTTTCTTTTCAGTTGTAAGAAGAAAACGTAACTTTAACATTCAAACAGTAGATTATCAAACGTTGAAGTGAGAAATGGCCATCATTAACTACGTGCGGGAATTACGTATTGAATTTTTCTTGTTTTTAATCATATTTGTTATCTCGTTGAAAAGTGTATCTCAACAGAGTTTAATATTAGAACGAGTGTGCAGATTCCATTTTGGTTATTCGGAAAAAATATGCAATAATCTTACAGAATATGATTCCATTCAAGCATCTGTACAGAAAATTTCTACTCGTTACAATCTAGGAAGCGCGTTAGTGACGACTCTACCAGCTATTATTAGTACGACGCTATTAAGTCCCTGGAGTGATAAGTATGGAAGAAAATTCCCTATATTAATTTCTACGTTTGGTTTAATTTTGGAAGGTATAGGATTAACAATAGTAAGCATCATTCGATCGGCGCCTGCTTACTTTATAATTATAGCCGGTATTCCGTCGGGAATTTTTGGAGGATACTTAATGGCAATTTCGTCTTGTTATACTTACGTTGCGGATATTACAAGAGAAAAAACTCGAACGGTAAAATTTACAATTTTGCAATGTTTCTTCGTTCTGGCAGATCCCATTGGAATGGAATTAGGAGGGATAATTTATAAGTACGAAGGCGTTACGGCCGTTTATGGAATAGCTTTATCTGCATTAGTAATGGGATTTTTCTGGGTACTTTTCTTCGTTGGTGAAACAAGAGGTGAAGAGAGTAAAACAAACTTTAAAATAAAGATTCGTTACTTGTTTCGATTGGATAATTTAAAAGAAAATATTCGAACTTGCATTGCTTCTCGTCCTGGAAATGTCAGAATGCAAATATGGTTGCTGATGCTTGCTAACAGTGTTGCTCTGTTCTGCACAACAGGTAAGTTCTGTTGATGTCATTTCACGTTAATGATTCGTGATATATAAGTATATACAAACAAAATATAATATAAATAACATAAATAATCTTATTACTACACACGTTATAAATTATTTATTAATCAAAAAATCGATTAATTTTTTTCGATTAATTCTTTATTCTTAATCTGTTTTATCAAGATACAGATTATGTAACAAATAATCAAAGAATGAATTGAACGAAATTTTTTTTAAAAAAGATTGGAGCTATTTTCCAGTTTACAAATGTGATATAGTCCATCATTTCTAAATGAATATTTACTGAAATATTGAACCATGGACAGATAAATTAATTTTCACCATTTTCAATATATTATACTTTTAATATAGACAATCTGTTTGGATTTTATTTTCAAATTTATTTCCAAAAATTCATATTAAAAAGAACAAATACCTGTTTAAAAAAAAAAATTTTGCTTAATATGAAAATATTTAATACTGAAGTTTAAATTATATAAAATTAAAATTTTTTAAAATATTTTATAGGTGCTACAGCTATAGAATTTTTCTTTGCTAACAGAATGTATAAATGGGATAACACAACATTTTCTACAATAACTGGAGCTCTTAAAGTAGCTCACGGAATATGTATTCTTGTAGCTGTTCCAGTTTGTTGTCGATTGTTTAAAATGTCCGAAGATATGATTGGCCTTTTGGGAATTATTTCTGACTTCCTAGAATTTGGTATTAAGTGTGCAGCTTATCGTGAATGGCCGTATTATATAGGTAAGATCAGATACAATTAAGGAAAATTAAAGAAAATTTGTTTGTGTAAATTGTGTACGTGAGTAGGTTTAGCTATCATAATCAAACTTCTCCCGTTCTGGGAATCCGTATTCGAGCACAGAAATTTTCGTGAATGGGTTAATTTAGGTATGTCAGATCCTATTTTGCATCTCTGTCTCCGTTGTGGAGGTATCCAAACCCATGATAAACGTGGAAAAAATGCCTTCCAATTGACTGAACAGAAAAGTAAAAATTTGTTTAAAAGTCCCCAGGGCAATATGCATTAAAAGTTTAAAACATTACAAAATATGAACTTTTTTAGAGCATTCTATTTGTCTATTCACAATACTAGCGGAGTCCCCATTTCTTTACAGTATTTTTTCTGCCTATACATATGAAAATTGTCTAAAAAGTTCCTCTGGCGCCAGAAATTTGTAACAATTTCATTTGTAGAAATAATAATTCAAAATCATTAAAAAAATCCAGGACGATGAGTCAAAAATAAAAGCTTATGTTCTTATTTTCTGCCCCTTGCCTCGACCTCACAATCATAATCCGACATAATACAGTGTTATGTCGGATTTCTTCTTTTATACAAACATTAGTTAGGTCTACTGTACCTTTTAATACCATTCAAAATAAATTTATTCAAATTGATACTTGTGTATTGATCTAGGTTGCGTTGTCGGATTACTTGGTGGAACAAGCACCGTTGCAGTCAATTCTCATCTTTGTAGACTAGTAAATGAAGATGAATTAAGTAAGTTTTCTTGATTATATAAATATAAAATATGATATTGTAATTATGTTGGTGGAGCGTATCCTACAGGCCTTATATATTGGTGTTATAAATGTTTTGTTTATGTCTGTTTGTTTATATATCTTTATTTTAGAATTTCCTGACAACGTGACGTGTTTACCTCTGTAATATGATGTATCTGTTGTTGTGATGTTCTTACGTGTTGTTTATGTAGTATGAACTGAAGTACCATCCGGTCCACTAGGCTAAACTAATTCTACCTTTGTCCTATTTTTTGTTGAACAGAATAAAGGGCATTAAGTTATATTAAATAACTTCTATCGTGTACTATATGTAATGTATCATAATTATAATATAATTATGACTTTATAATAACTTTATAATATCATAAAGTTAAATAAATCCTTATCCATCCTCCACAAGTGTTGTATTTCCTCCTGGGCGAAGTGTATTTCCTGTTTTTCGATGTGTGTATTTAGTATGTTGTGGATGTTTGGAAAGTTACAAAGTAGCCTACATCTATAATATAAATGATTTTGTTTTATCAATAAACATAATGTCTGATCTGTTTTGTCTATAATTATGTCACGTATATTTTGTACAACACAAAACAACATACACAAGTATATTTTGTGTATGTTTTTTTTTAATCATCGTTTGAGGTGTTGTATTTCTAGTATGGTTCCTGAGTGCGTAATAGTTTATGTAAATGTTGTCTTTTAAAATGTGCTTTATGTAATTGATTATTATTATCTGTTTTTAATTTTTATATTCCTATTGAATGTAATCTATATTAAAATTTACAGGTAAGATATTTGCTGTGTTAGCATTTTGTGGAGCGTTGATGCCAGTATTTTCAAATATTGTTTTTAACGTAGTTTATGCACAAACTTTGCACATTTTTCTCGGGACATCCTATCTAATGATGACAGTTCTTTTAATGATTCCCGCGATAATTTTTATGTAAGTAATTTTTATTTTAATTTGTGACATATTTTAAAACATATTTAATTTACCCTTTTTTTATTTAGCTGGTTAAACAGACAGACTCCCTATTCTTCCTATAATACTAGTGATAATGATACAAATCAAACAAAAGAACGTTTAGAATCTACCGAGAATCTTTAATGACAAGCTTAACTGACACAAAATATAATTATAAATTTAGTTTTTAAGCAAAAATGTTAAAACTATGTATTTATTTGTGATATTAAAAAAGAAAAACGATATGTAAATCATGACAGAATTTTATGTACAATACAATAAATACTGTATAAACAAATTTTTTTTATATTAAATTATGAACTTTATTGATTTTCTGCTTCACTTAATTAAACGATACATTTATTCTAAAAATGTTATATAATAAAATCAAGAGATAATTGATATCATGATACATAATCATTTTTTTTTATCTATGAAGAGGGTGTACTTTTTATTTGCTATTATGCATTAATAAAGGTGAGTTAAATCAACATTTTACTTCATTTTCACTTTAATTATTTAAATAGTTAAGGTAAAAAATCATAAAAATTTTAAATATTACACAGATTATAAATGATATTAAGTTTTTATATGCAATAAGTTGTAAAGACAGTCTTTAATGAAGTTTGCATATAGATGAGAACATTTAATAGAGAGGTTTCAATCGTATAAACAAATTAAAATTAAATAATTTATAAATATAAATACTTTTTATAGCATTTTTAAATGTAACGATTTAGGATGTCCGCATTAAAATATTCCGCGAATTTTCTTGTGATATCACCAAAAAAGTTTGCAAAAACATTTTAATATAATTGGAGGTTAATTTAGTATATTCGATGTAATACTTTAATTGTTATTAACAAAGAAAAAATTACTAACACTGAATTGCCCCATATTGACTATTGCTACGAAGCCAATAACTTAAAAATGATCAATAAAGTTTGACCTCGATTTACGAGCTATCTGAAAACCTCTCGTTAATGGAGATGAGCTTTTTCATTATTTCTTCTGGTCGAAATTATACCGTGTTCCGGAATAATCCAGTTTCCCAGATAAAATTAAAATACTACAAAACACCTACTTACTTATCAAACAATGATTCTAAATGATATAAAATAAACGAAAGAATTGATTAGGCTATTCATTGATATAATAGAAGCAAATAAGTTATCAGACATTTCTTGATTTAAAATGATAAGAAAGCAAATAGAGTAAAATGAATTTACAGTATTTTTTTTAATTATTATTAATTACAGTGATCCTTACTAATTATAGTAATATTTCTTTTTATAAACTAGAAAAATTACGACTTTCGTTGCTTTCGATTAATATTACTGCTATTTTCTTTGCGTATTTTCTAGCAAATGATGCTCAGTAGAATTGTATCAATAATATCAATACTACCGAATAGTTTTGGTGTAGTTGATCATAAAATATCGAACGATTTAGCAGAACGATACTATCGCGATGGTTTGCGTAACTAGAAGTGACGAACCTATGGAACACGTGCACAAGTGGCACATCGGGAGAAATCATCTGGCACATAACGTATACGATTTCGTTTTATCACCTTTTTCAGTCAACCTTTCGGTTTATCATCTGAGCATTCTTTTACTTTCTTGGCTGTTATATATAACCAAGGGAAAGAAAGTATGGCGATCGGTCAAAAAATGACCCACCCCCAAGAATTTTACATTTTTGGACTCAGGACACACACATTGAAACGAGAAACGCAAAAAGAGAAAAAAATTTGGTGTTTTATTCTGTATGTATGGATGTTAGTATTTGCGTACATGTGTGTAGCACGGTTTTGTTCACCCTCTTTGAAGCTTAATAACTCCTGTGCTTTTTGTCGAAATTGTCTGAAATTTTGTAAGGGAGGATTTGTTCGTTATGGGAATTGATGCTATTAAATTTTTGTGAGTAAAGGTCGAGGGGTGGGAACAGGGCTGATCTAGGTTTTTTTTAAGTCTAATGGGACCCCATTTTTTGTTAATACAAATAATAATGTAAATTATCATTATTATTATATTATTAATATTAACTAATTTTTACTACACGATAAGTGCTCATTGTTAATGAAAAAGTATTAAAAATTTATGATAATTCAATTTTTGTGGGCCCTTGACACTTGGGGTCCAGGGCTTAAGCCTATTAGTCCCTATGTAGATCCGCACCTGAGTGGAGAGATAAAGGGGTTTGTATGAATCTCCAGTAGAGTCAGACTTAATGACAATTTTACTTGTTATTAGCATTTACATTTTTAAATAAAACCCATTCCTATTCTCAAAATTAAGGTTTTTTGCCTTTTTTATAAATAGAATTTCATAACAGCCAGGAAAGTTAGTTAATTCATTGCTGATTTTTTAAAATCACAAACAACTCTAGTCTCCATTGGCAAATTTCAATAATTGAGAGAACATTTCTCCAAGAATTGAGCCATTGACTTTTGCCATAGAACCCATACTGAATGAAAAAAATTGAGATAAAGTGATGCTTTCATGACTTAAGAAGCAGCATAGCGAGAAAACATACAGATTACAAATACACCTATTGAGTTTCTAAGAACTTTAAGAAATATTATTGCATAAACATTAAGAAATATTATATAATTTATTCTTATATGTATTCTAGGAGAATGTAAGAAACCGATGCTCGAATATCTGTTGTGTTTGCACCAGAATGACGGTGACAATTCAATGTGTCGTTTAATAGCTAAGGAATATCTTCAATGTAGAATGGACAAGTAATTTCAATAAAATTACATTAAATAATAATAATAATAATTATAAATTAAAATCATTATTTGTGATTATCAGGGATCTAATGAAAAAAGAAGAATGGTCTAAATTAGGATTTAGTGATAAAAATGTTACCAGTGACAAGAAGTAACAGCTTTTAAATGTAATTATTTTTATGGAATTTATTTTTAAAAATATATTCTATTTAAAGCTATCAAATAAATATTTTAAGATGTATTGTTCTCCCTGATTGATTTAAAAACTTTTTATTACAGACCCCCAAATTTCCGACTGTCAAGCATCAGAGGAACTGTGTATATAAAACAAATATATTTTGTAAATGTTTTAATATATATATATTAAATCTCTTTATTCCTAGATATTCAATCTTGAGAACTACTTTTTCAGCATCTGCATCTTACATTAAATTTTTGTGAAACCATCAAACATTCTAAGTTAACAGGTAATGTTTGAAACTGTAAAGATCTCTTTTGGTAGTAAAGAATTAAATTTTTACAATTTCAAACCATATGTACATAAATAATTTTATAACAACTATTTATACAGTATTTACATTTGGCATAAATATACATTATAATATATTATTTTCTGCTTTAAAAACAATATGTTCGTAAAATGCCAAACATAATAAAAGACTATTGCACATGAATTCTCTGTCGGTTAAATTACTACGAAAGTACAACTCTCGGAGCGCCGGACCGAAGGACATTTTTGGAAGTGATGGCAAAAAAGGAACGGTCTCCTTGTTTAATAGTTTATGAATGATGTCCTGGCTAGTTACCCTTTCATTTCCAACTTGTATTTGAAAGACACTGGATAATGAGGAGCTTTTTATGGTCACCACCTTAAGATGAGTTGGCAAAATATCTTCAGAATGTTTGAATTGACTTAAGATAAACGATTCTAGTGCAGTCTGCCTTATCATGTACGGCACGTGAGTTAAATGCTTAGCACGAAGCCTTTTCTGCTCCATTAAGTATATGTCAGCTTCAGGTATTCTCGATACTAAGTCAATTGCCTAAAATGAAAATGGTACTATTAATTTAATAATTTTGTTATTAAACCATATAGAAAATCAGTAATTATCAAATTATGCCATATTATTTGATTGAACAATATGTATGAAATTGGTCAAAATAATTTACTTTCTAATTATTCTACTAACTAGATATGTTAATTATTTTGGCTTTTAAAGTATATTCTGTCATTAATAAGGTATAATTTGATTTACAGATGTAATGGAGTATCATAGAAGATATTACAAGTTACTTTTATCAATAACATAAGCAATCTGTATTCAAAGTATACTAGTCTGTTTTTTAGATTTATACTAATAATTTCTTCATTTATAGACTTAAACAATATGATTTAAATCACAAAAAACTATTTTTAATTAAAAAATCTTAAGACTTATTCACTTCTAAAATATTTCATTATGATCATGAATGCAAAACAATTTTATGAATTTTTGCTAATGTAGAAAATACTTTTGACTATACAGTACTGATAACTTAAATATATACCATATTTACTCACATATAAGACGAGGTTTTAATTCATTTATCATAGCTTCAAATTCCTAGGTTGTCCTATAGGTGTGAGCAAAAGATTCTTTGAGTTTCTGCAAATAACTTTTGTGAACAGTATATTCACATTTATTACCAGATGCTTACCCTCTTGTATTTAATAAGTATTTTATCTGGGTCATTTGAATCGTTCTTGTATATTGTCAGGAGTAAAGATGAATAGTAATAGGAAAAGCAAAACTTTTGAATTGAATTCCAGGTTGAAATTCCAAAATCACACGGGAGCATGATATAAGTTTTATTCCTTTTCCACATGAAAACAGATGATTATTCGGAAATCATAATTTGAAGAAACTCATAAGTGTAATTGACAGAGAGTGGATTCAACTGATAAGAATTGGCAAAAAAACGGTTTCCAATTGTCCAGCTTTAAGTGAACAAATTACGTTGTTGATTTTACAAGATTTTTCCTTAAAGTTTAAAATGCCAGTAATTTTTGCAGGATAATGTATGCATTTAGGTTCATTTAATATTTTACTTGTGATTAAATGAAATAAAATTAGAATTTTATTAATAAATTTAATTTTCTTTATTTTGATCTTTAAAGTCACACTTCGTCCTATATGCGACGTAGTCTTATATTCAAGTAAATACAGTAAATGTCATTATGTTTTATGTTTAATATACAATTATAAAAATAATAATAATACAGACTATAAATATATCTATATTCATTTTAAAAGTTTTTTTTTAACTCTACAATGCTTAACCTTAGATTGGGTGGAAAATACAAAGTTGATGTAAATATATAATATTTTTAGCATTTATTGCCAAATAAATGATCTAATTGTTACATCCCCAGGTTCTTAAATATTACATACTATTATTTAGGTTTATTCATGTGGTATTTTCTATCAGAGGGTTGTTGCCAAGTGGTGATCAGTTTTCCTCTAATAGTCACTGTCCTTTTGTGTTGTTACCTACATAATTAGAGACTAGGCACACAGGTCTAGATCTTCCTCTTGTCTTTCCTTCTAATTTGCCTTGAAGCACAATCTTCATTTCTCAAATATCCTCTTGTACTGTGCCCTGCATATTGGCTGCTTTCATTTGCATTAATACCTTTCCTAGGCTTTTTTATTTGCAATATATATTAAAGATCATTATTAAAAGTANTGTAGTATAGAAATTTGTAATAAGATACATAATGCGGTTATAATAAAATATTGTGCGATTATTTTCATATAATTAAAATTAATATGTATTTATTTTTTAGAAAATACAAGGGAAGCGGCGCATCCACCACTTCCAATGACGGCACGCCACTGCAGTTGTGGTCCGACTGCACCACAGAACCTTAAAACCTCTACCCCATTATCCTACGAAATAGTTCACATAGGCCAAAAGTGGTGAACCTGTGGCACGTCGGAAGAAATCACCTGGCAGATAACGTATTATACGAGATCACCTATCTTTTTCAATCACTCTTTTGATTTATCATCTGATCATTCTTTTTTAAATCGGTTTCTTTACATTTATTCTAATTGAAGCATATTCGTTTTTAGTGGCGAATCTTTGATCTGTTTTGGGGACGGACGACCACAGTATTGAGTGTGGAGNCGAGATCACCTATTTTTTTCAATCACTCTTTTGATTTATCATCTGATCATTCTTTTTTAAATCGGTTTCTTTACATTTATTCTAATTGAAGCATATTCGTTTTTAGTGGCGAATCTTTGATCTGTTTTGGGGACGGACGACCACAGTATTGAGTGTGGAGAACCAGTGGTAGCATATGGTGTCTTTGACTCCACGCTTAACCGTATCATCGCATGTATTCAGGTAAAAGGAAGTTTTACAAATGACTAAACTTTCTTTTACGTTATACCGTTGTTTCACAGGAAATTGTCTTTTTGCTATGATATATTTATCACAAATACAGAATATGGTTATAAATATATGTATATGTCTGAATTTATTCTGGCTCCTCTGCTCTGAAAGGACACATATTTATCCTATGTTCGGCACCGGTTGTGAGGGACGGGGTCCGACATATCCGGACAGACCATCCCTGAATAATTCTTGGGGATTTTTCGACCGTCCGGATTTGATCCTGGATCCCCAGAGCGATAGGCTGTCACCTTGACCGCTCGGCCATCCGGCTACTAAGAAAGAAGGGACTGTTGAGGAAGGGGTGGTTGAAGTTAATTTGATCAAAAGTACTGACCGTCCTCTCTTCCGGGAGGAGGTCAACGAATACTAATTAATACCGGTCTACTATTAATATTTGAAAAGTGGTCCCTATTAGACAGGTTGTGACGGCACCGCATGTGATCGAAGTTACTAACCTTAAATTAACGTCCTAAAGACTTCATATGACTTGTTTAAATATTAAAACTCTTGTAGAAATGTTGAATAATTGCTTTTATGTGATAATAAAGTGTTTAAATGTTGGCAACAGATTGTATAAACTACGTGGGAAGTATGTTCTCGTAAATATTGCGTTTATAGAAAAATTATCGGGCTGCAATTTGAAAAAAAAAATTGTAGACCTATAAATTCCTACTGCCGTCCCCTATCTGTCTGACTGTCTCCTTCCTTAATCTTGAGAAAGGAGTTAGACGAAAGCTTGCATCTAAAGTCGCCATGTTCTTTTTACTTTCGTTAAGTTCCTAACGGCAGCTCGAGAGTGATCAATAAGAAAAGCTTAGTAATCGCACGTGGCTATCAGAATTGAAAACGAAACGTACGGCTCAGAGTAGCATTTTCACAGTTGATCAAACGCCAATCACTTGGTTCCGATAGAAACTGGTTTTTATCGTATTCGTTAGTTTAACGATACAACTCAGAATAAGTCCCCAGATGTGTAAAGCTTAGGACAGGAAGCCCAGATTAACTATATAGGAACTTCCGGTTTAAAACGGAAGTAACGTTACTTCGATTCAAAATTTTCCTCTGAACATGGACTTAGATAGATGACCGGAGCAGCACAACTCTATTGCTAACAGAAAAGTGTGATGTACAGGGACAAAACACTATTACGCAACTGCTATATNTCCTATTCTCAAAATTAAGGTTTTTTGCCATTTTATAATAGTTAAAAATATAAAAAGTTTTTAAAATAAAATATGATAACAGATGGCGCCACTAAATTTTCCAGGAAAGTTAAGCAACTCGTTGCTAGATTTTTTCAATCAGCTTCTTTATATTTTTTAATCGAAGCATATTCGTGTAATTCTTTTAAATATCGTTATTCGAAGTCTAACACTTCGGCATGCATAAACATTTTTAAAAGTAACGAGCAATTATTTATTATGACACAGTCACAATGCCGGGCTGCAATTTTTAATCATATTTTTAATTTATTTAATTTAAAATATATGATCGCCACCTGAAATTAGTAGTCACTTGCCCCTGTACATCATACTTTTCCTTTAACAATAGAATCGTACCGGTCATCTATCTAACTCCGTTCTCGAGATTAAGGAAAGACAGACAACGGATGGACAACAGTGGGAATTTATAGGTCTACAATTTTTTCAAATTGCAACTCAATTATACTTATCATATGGCATGTGCACTCGAAGAAGTTCGCCATTTCTGCCGTAAACTATCGACTAGGATCATGAAGTGAGCCTGAGGAGCAGTACTAGTAATAAAGGAGGAATTAACTACTCTTTGACAGTACTTATATGCAGCGATAGTAGAAAAAAGAAAAGAAAATCCATTAGACTTTGAAAGAAATACTAATTTGTGAGTATTTCTTTCAAAAGTCAATATAAATTCACGGTAAAGTACTTATACATGGTTGAAACACCAGCACCTAGCGCGAGAGTGGTTTCCCAAAGTTTCAAATACGATTTTAAAAAATTGCTTGTGGCCAAAAAGAATGGAGAAACTCATTTTATATTTTCTGTTTTTAAAAATATTCGATAGAAGCGCGAATAATTCGTTATATATTTGATAGAATATGGAATATTTTTTGCTCCATTCAATGTTACGTTACGATTATCGCCCATCGCTACTCCCACCGATCAAGATGCCACTTATGAAAGAAGGCTTATTTAATCTCGGACGCAAGGTTGTCTTTAAGCTTAATAATTCTTGTACCTTTTGTGAAAAATTTCTAAAATTTTTCAGGGAAGTTTGTGTATTAGGGAAATTAATGCTTTAAATTTTAGTGGTTAAAGGTCGAGGTATGGTTCCTTTGATTTTTTTTTTCCTCCCATGTGGTCTACAGCTGATAAGATCCCAACCGTCTTATTCGAAGCTTTTTGCCATTTTATAATAATTAATAATGTAAAAAGTTTTTTAAAATAAAATCTCAACAGATAACTTCACACACAATTTTAAAGTTTGGCCGGGAAAGCTAAGCAACTCGTTGTTGAATTTTTAAAATTAGAAACTATTTTCTATAAATATGAATTAATTTTATTACTGCTTTTGAAAATATCAACAATTTATCATCGATTTACGCAATTTTCTTCTACATGGCGAAAAAAGTTCTCATGACAAGTTAACATGAAAACTTCATATATAATTAATTACATAATTTATTTTAACGATGTGATAATTCATACAAGATACGGTCGATAATTTTGTTTGGAATTTTTTACTGTACGTACAGTTACTGATTTTATTCGTTTACAAATGATATATGAATGTTAATTATTATGTAATAACCTTAAATAATGAATGGTCTTTGCATCTTATTCAATTTTATAATATGTATTAAATTACTGTACATTCTCTAAGAAAATTTGTTATTCGTAATGATCCATAATAAATTTAAGTTCTATTTTAAAAAATGTAATCTATATCACGTGTTTCTTTATCGAAGTAAAAATATGATTATAAAATTAATCTGTAAGTAATTATTTTTTTAAATGCTTGAATAATAATTTGTCTGTGGTGCGTTATGCACCATAGACAATGCATGGTGTTATGCAAGTAGAGTGACTTTGAATTGTCTAGAAATCAAAATTTCGATAAATTTAAACAATATTTTTTATTTATTTAAACACAGATTTTAAATTTTTACTTTTTTTTTTATTTATGTTAAACATTCTAATTTATGTGAGTAACGTTTAGATTATTATCAAGAAGTATTATTTTAAAATGTATTATTATGAAATGCTTGATTTAAAACGAAATAATTCACGAATAAATCGTGAACCGTGGTTTTTGTAATTAATATGAGTTATATCATTCATTTTTCGAAATAAAACTGTTTGTGATACAATGTAATTAACGTATTGCCATTCATTTCTGCAGTAGGAAAGTTTACAATGAAGTATTTTCTCATCTAAAGATTAAACAACACTTTTATGACGACAAATTCCATTTTTAAAATAACCTGGTTCGTTCACTAAGCTAAAGTGAGTACTTTATTTTGTATTGTATCGTTATATAAACGATATATGATAAACGGAGTTAAAAATTTTATTGTTCTCATAATATAGGATTAAAATCAAGTTTTAAGTTTCTATACTTGTTTCTTGTATTCAAAAATATTAAATAAATTAAGTATTCGATCTCTTAAACGCGTTGCAACCCGAGTTCTTGTATTCTATGTGCGAAGCGAAACGACGGGTAGAGATATGCAAATATTTTGTATTTTAATTAATTAAAGCCCATTTCTTTTATTATTACAGATCGCTGAAACAAAATGAGATTGATCAAATTATTCGAAATACTAAAACAATTGAGGATAGAGCCCTATGTATTCTTCATTATTTTTACCTTCTCCATCAAAGACGTGCCTCAACAAACTCTAATTATGGATAGAGTTTGCAGGCTTACTTTAAATGAATCAGATAGTGTATGTGATGATCTTATCAAACACGAAAGAATTCATAAATTGGTGCAGAAGATATCCACACATTATAAAATCGGTTATTCGTTAGTAACAATTCTACCATCTATCGTCAGTGCGACATTGTTAAGTCCGTGGAGTGATAAATATGGCCGAAAGTTTCCAATATTGGCTGCAACCTTTAGCATGATTTTAGAAGCATGTGGTCTCTTAGTTGTTGGTTTGATAAAATCGGCGCCCCCTTACTTCTTAATTATTGCCGGTATACCGTCGGGTATATTTGGGGGATTCTTAATGGCAATATCTTCATCTTATACTTACTTGTCTGATGTCACAGATAAAGAATCACGAACAATTCGATATGCAATCCTGGAATTTGCCTTTGTTTTAGGTGTTCCTGTAGGAGTTGAAGTCGGTGGCAGACTATTTAAACTAGGCGGTATTGTCCCGGTATATTTAACAATTCTGATAGTTCTATGCTGCTCCTTTGTTTGGGTTTTTTTTATTCTTAAAGAAACAAGAGGTAAAGAAGAAGAGAAAAATTTAAAAGAAATGATTCTTCATCTGTTTCGACTGGATAACCTAAAGGACAGTTTAAATACCTGTATTGCTCCTCGACCAGGTAATCTCAGAACTCAAATATGGTTGTTAATAATTTCCATAACGTTCATCAGGTTTGGTGGTTATGGTGAGTTAATTTTACTATACTTCTTTTTAAAAAATTAGATAAAGAATTTGTTCGCAGATTTTTTTAATGTTTTCATAGCATCGGAAATTTTTTTTACTTTCATTAATTATCATCTTAATACACGATTATTCTCTATTAGAAAAAGATTGTGATCATCTATTAAACTTGAATGATGAATAATGTGCAAAGTGAAGAAAGAATCCGAGGTTCGGACCAAGAAAAAGTATTGCAGTTCTGGAAGGCATTCGAACAGGCCAGAAGCTTGCTCGAATTCCTTCCACGATTGCATAAGACTATTTATTATATATCCAATAGTAATCAGTAACTTTTACTAACGCTGACTGATTCCATTGAAGGTAACCTACAATTTGCCAGACGAATTGCGTCAAAAATCGGAACAAAGAATTAAAGGGGAAAACGTGAATAAAATAGTTTTAATGAGAAAATAATACGTAAGATCTTGTAGTAGCTACAGGGTTGGCGCTAGAATTTATGTCGCCCAGGTCAAGCATTTAACGCCCCTTATTCCCCTAAATAAAACGAAAAAATAAAATTAGTTTTAAAATGCCATACCTATCAGAAGTGGGAAATAGTTTCGCTATTCGTTATTTCACGCACGAAAATTTATGAAAATTTGCCACCCTGGGCAAATGCCCAGTTTGCCCATGCGGTAGCGCCGGTGCTGAGTAACTGTATGAAAAATATAATCAGTTAAAAATTTATTTATTTATTGTTTTAAATGATATATTATGCATTTTTATTTTTCTGCTAATATTCCAGGTTCCATGACCGTTGGTTACTATTTCGCCAATACTGTTTATAAATGGGACAGTTTAAAATATTCCAATATATCTTCCATCGTCCAGGTAACGCATGGAATTGGTCTTATCATATTCGTTCCAATTTTTACCAAAATTTTAAAATTGCCCGAAAGCATCATCGCTTTATTGGGAAGTCTCTCGTATATGGGTGAGAATGCTATTAAATCAGTCGCCTATCACGAGTGGATGTATTTTTATGGTAAGACACTTTATAAAAAATATATTTTGAAATATTATTAAACCTATTACAGTAGCAGTATTTATTACTCCACTATAATACAGTAATAGTAATGTTACAATTCACATACTATAATACTGAATACAGTAATCGATTCAGTATTAGCATGTAGATTGTTTTGATATAGTTACCAATAGTGTTAATTGTCCATTTCTCCAAAGAGAAGTTAACAATATATTATTTTTAAATTTTTAACTGGCTATTAACATGCCTCAAAAACAAACTTAACACGGGAAAGTATTGTAATCGTGTCATATTTGTGTGTTATATCGTGTGTATGTTGGCGTCTATTTCGTTTAATATCTCATGATAAAGATTAAAACGAAATTGTCACGGTAACTTGTATGGACATTGATTCTATTAAAGTTTGATAGTTAAAGGTCGAGGTGCCACGTGTCATACATATCTCCAGTAGGGTCTGACTTAATGAAAAATTTACTCGTTATTAGCATTTACATTTTTTTAAAAAACTCAGTTCTACCCTCAAAATCAAGTATTTTGCCTTTTTATAATTAAAAATAACTTTTATATCATTAAATAACATCTCGTAACAGATGTAAATAGTTTCGAATATTTTTAAATGAATTTTCTGTCTATATTTTAAAGCCATCTCACCTTGTCTAAAATTAACTTTTTGAAATATATATTCTACTTAGCTTATTCGGTGGGACTTTTGGGAGGAGTCAGTAGTGTTGCCGTAAGATCTCGACTTTCTAAAATGGTTAATCAAGACGAATTAGGTAAGTATAATAATTTGTTTCTAGCTTTCTTAGATATGTTTACTGATGTCCAATTTATTATTCAGTTAAAAATATGATAAATAACTTAGTATCCGATGAAACTCTAAAATATTATCTAAGATACACAAGTATTATTTTAATAAAAATTTTAAAATACAAAGTGAGCTACAAAGTGATATAATGCTATTATATTACTTTGTAGTCCACTTTTACAATGGTTTAACTCAGGTTGAATGGACGAGCGGCTAAGGTAAAAGCTTATCGCTCGATCCTGGGACACGGAATCGAATCCGAAGGGATCGAAAAACCTCAGGAATTTTTCGGGGGTGGTCTATCCTGATATATCGGGCTCCATCCTGATATATCGGGCTCCATCCCTCATTACGGGTCTGGCCGAACTTGCTAAAAGTTCCTCTTACTACCTACAAGGCGAAAAGAATTTTTTTTTTAATTTTTAATTCTCTACAGTTATTAGTGTTTTTTTTTATTATTTCAGGTAAAATTTTCTCATTATTAGCTCTGTCTGAATCATTGACTCCTGTAATTGCTGCAGTTGTTTTTAACGAAGTTTATGAAGGAAGCGTATATACTTATGTTGGAGCATCTTATTTATTAACTAGTATTTGTTTAATTTTTCCAGTAACTGTTTTCATGTGAGTAAAAATCAATTTATATATCTATATTATGATTTTTTAAAATATCTTTTTTCTTCTCAATTAGTTGGATTACTAAACAGACACTTCCAAGAACATCGGATGATGGTAACGAAGGAGAATTCCAAATGGAAAGTTTTAGTGAAAGTAAATAAAAAGATAAATTACCACAAAATATGACCGATTTTGTTGATTAACTTAATGTCGGTTTATATTTATTAAATGTAATAACCACCGCATTTACGGTGTATGTTTAATGCATTTGAATACCATAATTGGTAAATAAATTTTTACAGTCGTTGAATTAAATATATTTTGTTATGAACATATTAAATATTGTTTAATTATTCTTAAACATTATTGTTTTAGTTAATAATAATATTTCCATCAATTGTTTTACATTTCTTGGTCTATCTGATAGCTAGTCGTACGGTAGCGTTAGCCTATCGTAGTAAGAACCCAGACTCTATCCATCCATATACCAGAATTTATCATAGTATAGTATGAATCGAGGCGTCATTGCATATTACTCACTCATACTTGCTAATTGCACTATAGGTTGGGTCCACAGAGCGACATTATTATCATATTACTTTGATTCTTCTGACATGCATCAGTACTTTAATCATATATTGCCTACTCATTGACAGTCAGGTATGTAAATGATTACAGTTGTGCAGTGGCGTGCCGTGACATTTGATAGGGAAGCTGTGTTTCTGTAAGAAGCCGACATCCAGGGGCAATCAGTCAATTGCGCGTCAGTAATAGTCTAGGATTCATTCGTATCGTTTATTCGATAAGCCACTAAAAACCGTAGACTTCTCTAAATGCATTTTTAATATCACAATTACATTCCGAATCGCTAGCCATGATATAAGGGCTACAATTAAAAATAAAATAATAATAACTTACTTGGTGAAATAAAATGTATGGTGGATGTACCGGTACTGTACAGTACATACCTGGTACAAAATATTCTTCAATTGTATGAATATACTTTTAAAGAAAATTATAATTAAATATAGCTTTGTAAAAAAAACGTACTTAAAAATAACATAAAATCTTAAAACAATCCACTTGGTCAAATAGCTCCCTACGAGTGGCTAATGGATGGAATCAGAGACGGTCTTGGTAGGTGCATGAACGTGGGCTGCCAAATCTCGAGGGTGCCGATACCGGTCAATGTCAAATGCTTCTTTTGTTGCATCACTAGTATACCTCAAAGGATGCAACAGGGTTGTTGTACATTTTAAACNGGGTCCAAGATCCCCATAGCAATTTATTGCAAACAGTTTTCGTTTCTTCTCGATATAGCATTCGATCCTAAAGAAAATTATTCGAAAAAATTCAAATTATTTTAAAATTTTCATAGAAATTTTTATATAATTTAAAAAAATTTATCAACTTCTTATCGCGAAATGTAGACTTATATATCACATTTATTTTTAACCGCTTCAAAATTAATTTTAAATCATTTATTTTACAGTATTGTTGCAATATTGTTTCTTGCGCAATTTAATATAAATTGCAAATTGATTCGAGATATGTATGCAAACAATTATTTACAGAGAAGAAGTTCTATGTTTCAAAATTGTGACATTGGCGACTCGAAGACCACAAGACCGATCTAATTGATTATTCAGACAATTGTGCAAACGTCAGATCGATAAATAAATCAAGGTCGTTACTATATAAACCAATTAAAATGAATCATTTTCGATTGTTTACGGGGTTATTTCGTTTCTTATCGTAAACGTTATCGCAACGTGGAGATAGAGCGCTATTTATCTCGACAAATTTGATAGTTCTGTAATTGTCTGCAACTACTCTGTCAAGCGAGAACTTACCTTCTGTACATGTATTTTTAACAAAGAAATCTTGTAGTGCATCCCTTTCACAGGTACGTAACTTTTTATATGCTTGAATTTTTAATGAAAAAATAAATTATGAAGAGCATCCCTTCACAAGTATGCAGCTTTCAGCCTACAAGAATTTGCAGATTGCATTTTTTAAAGTTTTAATTACCGATTAATACTAGTAAACACGATTTTAATGATATGAAATATTTATTTTAAGTATATTTAATTATTTTTACCGTTAAAACTGTTTATTTCTTTTATTTTGTTAAAAAATTCTATTGTTCTCGGATCGGAAATAGAGAAAGTATATAAAATTGTATTGGATTGATCAATGATAAGCTTTGTAATGGTAAATAAGCATTCATTTATTTAATAATTTAATAAAAATATGCTTTTATCGAGAATTCTATTTATATAATATAACATATCGAATTTTATCATGACTTTTGCTGATAACTAAACTGATGAGACGAAGCCGAAACGTCTCTAGTTCATATTTACTCGATTAACTACAGTACTTCTTATCTCTAGAATGTCTAAGAATTTTGTTACGTAAACAAATTTAAATCTAAAAGAAATGTATTAATTATTCTTTTTAAAATTTGTTTAGATAATGAAAGCTTCAAATTTTGTTACATTTCTTGTGATAGTCGCATTCGTTGTTGGTTTCTGTCCATGTTTAATATCAAGTGCCCCTTCTTCGGATAACGGATTCAGAAGTGAATTGTGTAAAGTATTATGCAATAAGAACCCACCAGAAGGAGGAAATTATTGTAATTGCGATCGACATCCTTTGGGATAGATTATCAAAGAGAAAAAAAGAAGAAAATGAGAGAGTAGGTGCTATATATTCTTGTAGATCTATAGAATAAATTACTCCAAATATATCTTAATGTTAACCTAATCCTAAGGCTCTCTTAAAACATCTTTAGGATCTATTAACAAAATTAGAATATAAGGGATTTAATCCCTATGATAAAATAGAATACTTAATAATCATTAAAATATATGATTAAAGCGTTAAAATATTAATCCTGTTTATTTAAATTTAATTCTTATATTCTAAGTTCCGTATATTCTGTATATATAGGCCTATATATATATATCCAAACTATTTAAATACAATATTTAGGATAAAATCCTTATACTTTTATCCTTAAGATAAAATATTCTATTTTATATTATTTAACAAAGTTAACAGAAATTTTTATATTAAATTTCTGTTTAAAATATCGTTAAAGTTATTTAAAATTTAACATTTTATAACTAGATTTCAATCTTATATAACCTAAAAGTTTAATACAGTACTTTAAAAATGTTCTATTATTTGATTAAATTAAAAACATCCAAACGATATCTATAAATATTATATATTTTTCAGGATGTAAACATCATTTTTTAAGAAAATATTTTATCATTTTTAATGTGGAGTGTAACTTCCTATCATGCTATTTATCTCCCATAGTTTGTATTCAGTGCATATATATTCATTTATGTAATAATAATGTTTAAAAAATCAGTTAATATTTTTTGTAATATTTTTAATAAATAAAAATCAAAATAATTAAAATTATTCATTGTTTCAATTTAAATTAACAACACATTTTAAAACTAAAATTAAATTACTAAAATATATTTTAATTTAAAAGTTTAATTTTTAAAAACTCACATTTTGTATATTTTTTATTTAAAAAATTAATGAATTTTTTATCTCTCGCATCAAGTTTAAGAGACTGATTTAATTAATATATATATATATTTTCTTAAATAAAATTTTTAATATTTTATAATGGAATAAACTTTATTGGCTATATAAATTCAGCTTAACTTAATTATTCACACACATATATAGAATTTAATCAATTTAATCTAAGTTAAAGCATGGTATTGATATATAACATATATGATAAACATGGGTTTAAGCAAGTTACAGTGATTGTCCTAACCAATATATCTTCTATGATCATTACTGGAGAGAAGCTAAGTGTATATAAGTGTATCATTCTGGTTCCTGCAGGATGTTCTTTCTCGTACTTAAACTCATCCAATGCGATCGCTCATCTTGCAATCTTCGATGATAGATCTCGCTGACTTAGAGTCTTTTCAAATGCTGTAAGAGGAAGAGTCCTTAAATGTTATGGTATAGGGCTATGACTAATCTAACTTCAACCCTAATGATAAAAATATTTTTTATGCATCTTGAAATTTAATTAAGTTAGAATATGATATTCGTACAAAACGTGTTTGATAGAGAGGGTCAGATCCAGATATAATGTAAGCAGGTTAAAATAAGATCTTATGTTTTTAAACTTATTTGTATGAAGGGAAGGTTTCATATTATAGCTTAGAGCCACAACGGGTTTAAATCCGGTCCTGCCGATAGGAATGCATTTTATGTATCTGATTTCCATTGGGAGGCTTATATTCTCTTTGAAAATTTTTCTAATTACAGTACATAAATTTAATACTAATTCTGTAATTAATTAATTGGTGGACTTATTACATAAAATCCTATATTTTCAATCTGTTTTTTAGCACGAGTTTCTCATTAACAAATTTAAGTTGTTCATGATTTATCGAGAATATATTGATGAATTTTTTCGCGATGACAGCGTATTCATCCTTAATGTAAATATGTAAGAGTTTACTCGATATGCATAATCAATGAGATACTATTAAACAGTAGGATACTAATAAACTTGAAGTACAGTAGAATGCTAATAAACTAAATTTATAAAATTAAAATTATTTAAATATCTATCAAAAGCTGTTGAGGTTCTTTTTCCTCGTTACACACGACCCATTGCGGTTCTGATTGAATCCGTTATGAGCATGTTAAAAGACTTATTAGAACCAATTCACACTATTACAGTAGCGAACTTATTTGCGCTATATTTCTGAGAAGATGGAACCGATAACAGTCCGTATATGTATCTAAAAATGTCAATCCACAATTCTTCTATCCTAAAATTACTTTTAGGTTGTAAACTTCAATAGTTGTATTCAAGCCGTATGTTTAGCTCACCAGCATTTATTTATTTTTGATGATTGCCACTATATTGAAAAAGAACAAGAAACAAAGAAGGTTGATAAAGACATCTAGAAAAAAATTCTAAATTGAATTTAAAATTATTTAATATGAGGGTTGACGTTAAATGATCGTGAAAGTTAAGTAGATTATTAATTGAAATTTACTAAGAAATTTAATGAATTTATAATAATTTATTGGAATAGAGGTGAAATCTTATAAATACGCTCGTCAACGTCAAGTCATAATGACACTAGTTTTGATGGAAGTGCAAGCATGTACTGTAAGTACAGTATTAGTAAAAAATCACACCTGTGTAATTCCACACTGCGATCGACATAGAATTTTCTCGACATGAAAAATTGCTATTTATTCTTCCTTCGAACTACTTGAAATGAGATTACAATCTAAATTCCTCGCTGAAACTGTGATAATGTGAATCGGTTCTTAATGAACACAGGATGGTAATAATTCTAAAAAATATTAAAATAAATATATTTTAAAATACCGAAACTCTCAATTCGGTTTAATATCCATAACTTTTATTAGTAAACGTTTACAAATAAAATTTCTAATTTTTTTTTAAATATAAAAATAGAAAGTCCGTTTCTTTTCAATGAGTCATGCGAATCGTTGGGATCGTTGCCGGTCACTCCGGCAACGATCCCAGATGACTCATCAAACCGGATGACGATAATTTATCCGTCGTCGACTGCAAGAAACCTCAAAAGGACGAAGTTCAAAATATCAAACAGTATCCTATTTATAAATGAATCGTTTTCTTCAAATACCGATCACCTGGTGACAGAAATTTTAGCTGATTCAGCAACTGTGGCCAGTTTTTACCCAGAACTTGGCTGCAGCACATACAAATAAAACTGTGTTTCTATTGTTTCCAGCTCAAAAGAGCCATAAATGTAAATTTTATTAATAATTTTTTTCCGGAAATGTCTTTCTTGTGTTCTGAAATGTCGCCAAACCAAATTTGCAACCAAATTTGGTTTGGATTGTTAGTTATTAATTATCTTTCTAATCAGCTCTGGATAAGGATACTTTAATTACATATTTTCCGGTATGTTAGAATCCTTTTCAAGTCAATATTGAAAACTTACTGTCTCTTTAAAATACTATTAAATAGTTGCAGAAACAGTTTTTAAACAATTATATAACTAATTCACAAACATTTAAAATATTGGAAACGTTTGCAATTGTATAACAAAAATATTGATTATGAGACAATAAAGATGCAATATAATCCCTAATTAGTAGTCTTTATTAATTAGACAAAGGAATTTGCATAAGAGAATAAACAGTGGATTATGTATATTCAAATTTCTTTCTTGATTCTCAAGAATGAGCAGCTATTGAAATGTTAAAACATAAAATTAACATTGATGATTTCGTGTTATGACTTCAAAATATGAGTAACATATGAATAATCTGAATGAATTACATTTAATTAATGAACGTGAAGTAAATTGTCAGGTTCAAATTTTTCGTGGCTACAAAGTATTGTTAAACACAAACAGGAGTTTTTATATTGAAATTCTCAATTTAGTATACTCAATTTTTTGGCCATCACAGATTATATTAAATCGTTATTGTTTTTGGGTTTTATCACTTTTCACATTCAGCAAAATTTTATAACAACAAACACGTAATCCAGTTGTTTATCAGAATAATAAAATCTTTATTGAATGATATCAAAAATCTTGATATCGCCCGACTGTTTTATTGCCTATTGTATTCCATTATCATCGCTTCCACTCGCATCTCAAATAATCACGCAAAGAGACATTAATATTCAAAATGTTTGTTATATTTTTTTACATATTTAATAAAAGGAATATAAATTTTGTTTTGAAAATTAAAACAACTTCATAAAATATTTTAAATTTAGAAATAAAAGCATTTAAAATAAAAGGTTATTCGAATCAAATTTAAGTTATAAACAATCTAAGTACAAATTTACCATTATGGGCTCGGTCTCTTTTCTAAAATTGTTTCCGCTTTGTGGGTTTTAAAGGTCTGTTTTTAAGCAAGTCTATTATGAGTTCGACCGCGTCCACAATTTTACGGCAGGATTGTGAGTTACGGGCCCCGACATATTTGGATGAACCGCCGACCAGTAAAGTGCCTAGGTTTTTGATTCGTCTGGATTGAGGCCGGATGGCCGAACGGTCAAGGTGACAGCCTACCGCTCTGGGGGACCCGGGATAAAATCCGAGCAGATCGAAAAATCCCCAGGAATTTTTCGGGAATGGTCCATCTTGATATGTCGGGCCTCATCCCTCACCACCCGACCGTCCCATTGTGAGCCTGGCTAAACCCATTATGAGCTTGCTAAAAAAAGGCCTTCTTAGTGTCCACAGGGCGGAAAAAGTTTTAAAAAAATCCATCTGGATTCGATTCCGCATCTTCCAGAGCCATGGATTCCATCTTAACTGCTCCGCCATCCGGCTGTCTCAGATTTCATTTTAAACAGGATTTACTGTATATATTTTATGTATTTTTTATATATAAACTTGTAAATAATATTATTTATAAGTATTATGTTAAATAAAGTACATTTGTCATTTATGTGAAATATCTTAAAATATTTATCTTTGTATATGTAAATTAATAATACGACTTATATCTACATCTCTTAATTAACTAATATTTTAATTTTAAATATAATATGATAAAATATTTATTAATTTTTCTTATAATTTCATTTTCATTATTAATACAAATAATAATTTGATTTATTTAGTTAATTTGTTTTGTAAAGTGATTTTGGCTATGATTTGGCTATCGGATGTTTGTTATCTTCTAACGTCATTTGGTATCTCAGTGCGAGGGCGGATCAATGTGGACGACGACGTGTTTCTAGTCAACGGAAAGAATTGTTCTTTACTTATTGCTGTTTCTATGGATTCTTTTGGATATTTTGCACGTTTTCATATGATTTACGAATGAATTAAATAGATCTTCAATTAAACAATGAGTTGGGGTGTGGATCTTTGGGTAAGTTAGTGTGTTTTTTATATGATCAGTCGAAGGTCAAGTGAATTTGAATTGTTTCACCTTTAACCTTCCGTTGTCACTCGATTTGAACTCGTGTTTTTGTATCGGTTTCCGTTATTACATTGAACCGCTTCTGCATGTGATTCATAAGTAATGCTGAAAATTATAATAGAAGGAACCTACAATAGAAATTATTTACGTCATTTTAAACTCGTAACTGCTAAAATTTTCCATTTAAAAATATTTTAAATAACACTTTTGCTTTTTGTGTGTATAATTCATCAATTGATTTTTATGTGTTTTTATTGTATTGAAATTTCATCGGTTGTCATTCCGTTGGATTAACAAGGATCGTTATTTAATTAAATTGGATATTGTAATTCGATCATAATGAAAAGTGATTCTGTTTTTCTAATGTTTATGAATTACAATATTTAATGTTTATAATTTGTTTTATGGTTTCAATTGTCAGTAATGTAAATCCAACATTATTAATTGTTTTCCTGATTATTTACATAGTCAAAATGCATTATTACTGGTGTTAAATACTACAAGTTTCAAAACTAATCTAACTAATTTATCTAAAATGAGCTCTAATCACATATAATATGTCCAAAGTTTGGGAGTTATAACAAAGAAACATTGTAATCATTGATACTTTTCATAATTGAGATATAATATTTAATCAGTCTATTGTATNTCTAGGGTCCATTCGTATCGTTTGTTCGATAAGCCAGTAAAAACCGTAGTTCGAAGCACGGTTTCAGTTATTAAAGGAACCGTAGACTTCTCTAAATGTCTTTTTTAATATCACAATTACATTCCGAATCTCTAGCAAGATATAAGGACTACAATTAAAAATAAAATTATTAAAACTTACTTGGTGAAATATAATGTGTGGTGGATGTACCGGTACATACCTGGTACAAAATATCTTCAATTGTATAAATATACTTTTAAAGAAAATTATAATTAAATATAGCTTTGTAAAAAAAATGTACTTAAAAATAACATAAAATCTTAAAACAATCCACTTGGTCAAATAGCTCCCTACGAGTGGCTAATGGATGGAATCAGAGACGGTCTTGGTAGGTGCATGAACGTGGGCTGCCAAATCTCGAGGGTGCCGATACCGGCCAATGTCAAATGCTTCTTTTGTTGCATCACTAGTATACCTCAAAGGACGCTACAGGGTTGTTGTACATTTTAAACGTTTCTCACCATAGTTGTAAAAATCTAAATACTGTATGTTAAACTTAATAGATTGTCCGTCATTTGTTTTCTAACTAATTCGTTTTAGGACCAGGTGTCCATGGAAATTTCCAAAATTTACAACTTTTCGGTCACTCTCATTAAACTGGAAAAATTTCTGTCTTTATTATCTAATATTACGAAGAAATCAGTCCCCACTGTACTCGGCTAGATATTGGTTCGGTCAAGCTTTCGTTTAAGTAATATTTCGGCTCTTTCATCAGGGTTTTGTTTATGTCCCCAATTCCCTACTCGCTTGATTATTTAACTACTTCTTAGGTAGAAATAAGTCGAAACCAGTTACTTTGTACTCGAATATTTGTAGTCTCGGGAAAAAGTGAAAAGACAAATTTTTATGACAAACGGATACATAAATCGTAAATTTAAGGANAGTAAGTTTTTTAGTATTAAGAAATCTTTATTTAAACATATTCATTCTCAAAGACAATGAAGTACTTTGTGTTATTGATTAATTGATTTACCACAACATGTATGGATTCTCTAGGAGATGAATCCTTAAAAGTAGCAGATTTTGAACTTTTTTAGATAAATGAAATGAGATTAATTTACATTGAATAATCATTTTGTATTTTTCAATTGTGTATATATTAGTTTATAAATAAGTGCTAAAAATAATCTTAATTTAAAAAGTTATTTAATTATGTATAAAATATATGTGCTGAACTTTTTTGTTGAATTGAAACAGTTTCTCAATATGTATGAATACATTCAAAAAAAGAAAATAACATACTTTTAGTAAAAAAAATTATCTACTTTTTACCATAATTTTTTAAACAAAAGATTGACTAAAAGATTAAAAATACAATTTAGTCCTTAAGATAAATTGTGTGCTTTTTTCTTTTTAATTTGCAATTAAAAAATTTGTCTTATATGTAACTAAAAGGAAAATAGAATTATTTCAACATCATTTTTTATACACATTTATTGTTAATTTTATTTCAACAGTAATTTTAAAATGTTAAAATTATTCAGATAATTGTTATTAATAATTATTCAGATATGGTGAAAATATTTTAAAATTAACAATAGTTTTATGCAGATAGAAATGATACAATAAATCAATTGAATACAACAGACTTACTTGTGATGATATTTATTATTTAGAGACACTTTCTGAATATTTCAGTTTGCTTTCAGATCTTTAAACCCAAGTAAGGCTGAAGAATAGCTTGAAGCATTGAAATATTGTTTAGAATTAAAGTTTTTATTATAAATGTTTTTTTACTCATCTGATAGTTTTTATATTTTCTTTTGTAAACATAAGAATAGAAAAGTATGTTTATTGTGCAGTTGCTAACATTTGAAAAAAATTTATATTAAAGTAAGAATATATTTCTAAATAAGTGGAAATATATAAACTTTGCTATGAAGCAAAACACAGACTAAATTTTATTGGAGTTGTGATTATATTACAATTAATCATATATGCAGCAAAATGCTGACTTCTAGAAAGAATGTTGTTTATACAAGAAAAAGTAGACTTGCACTGAAAATAAAAAAAAATTTAATCAATGACTTTCAGTGTCCTTTTGTTTGCCTGAAAATATATTTTTACTCTGAAATTCTTTCAAATCTAGTAATTCTTCATGATTTTCTTTTTATTTGTTTTAAGAAAACTTACTGTTCTTCAGTTCTAAGAAATAAACAATCCATTTTCTTCTGATGTTTTCCAGTAATATGACATATCTAACTAGAAATGTTACAAAATTTGGAACCGTAATATATTAATTCAAAACAACACTGCTATTTTTAGGTTACCAAAAAATATATTTAAATATAAAATATTTTCACCATAATATAGGCCATTTTCAACATTAAACACATTTAATTTTCTTTTGTTTTTTTGATAGTTTATTTTTTTGAGAAGATAACAAACTAGAATGTAAATTTTTTATTGAAACTAATTAATAGGCTTGGCTTCAGTAAAATAAAAAATTTTTGATGTTTTTAATGTCAAATTTCTGATAAATGTTGCAAAAACTTCTAATGATTAGATAATTACTACTCATTAAATCAATAATTTTTATCATTTTTACTGATATATAAAGTTTTTCTATAATTGAAATTTTTGAATATGAAACCTTTGTTGTGAAAATAATTCTATTAAATGAATACAGTAGAATTTATAGAATGCATTTATATTTTAAAAAACATTGTAAAAAATTAATTTGTTTGATTTAGATATTATGGGAGGAATTTTTCCAAATAATTTACTTATAAAGTTGAATGCATCCTATACCTTTGCAAATATGGTAATCTTAAATTTAAGAATCTTTTAAATTAAAATTTATTAAATAATTAAAAATTTAAATTTCTTAATTATATTTAATTTTAAATTAAAGAAAAATATTTAATATGTAATGAAAGGAAAAAAAAAGTTTTGTGAAGATTGTTTTTCAGTTCCTAAACTTGTAACCTATATATTCAAAATAGGGGAAAGAAGTTTTAATTAAAATGTCAAATAAGTTATTTTAAAAATAGTGTAATTATTAATAAAATCATATTTAGGTCTAACATTTATAACCTTTACAAAGCATAAAATGATAATTTATGTTTATAATGCCAATAAAAATAAAATATACTGGTTTTTAGGCAATTATGTGATTTTTTTTAATGATAGCTTATTACAGACTTTTTAAATTTGTAAAATATATTATTTAAAATTATTTATAATATAAATGTATAGCAAGATATTGTTTTAAATGATTTTGATGGTTGGTTTTAATAAATAGCTGTACTAAAATACGATTCATGCAAACTATCTGGTACTATGTCAACTGACATTACAGCTGTGTGTATGAAAGTAGACTGTTTTATTTAAAACTATGCTCAAAGTTTTATTTTATTTTTTAAAAAATAACTACACTCTTTAAGTATTTCTTATATTTCATTCTTTGCTGCAATAAGAGTATTATAATGTTAAATTCAAGGTTTATTTTTGTTTGATGTGAAATTTTTTTCAACTTATAAACTTTTTTTACTTACACTTATAAGTTAATATTTTCACTTAATTGGCTTACAGCAGTATTTAAATCATTGGTAATTTTTGAAATTTTTATCTGTACTAATATAATTCAGGTAAATTTTTATGTACATTAGGTATAATCTTATGTTGGATATTTTTTTTTATTAAAAATATTGGTTATTTCAAAGTTTATTGGATTTTTTTGGTTATTTTCATTAATAATTAGAAAGGAGAACGAAATTATTTTGAATCAGAATAACAGAATTCCTATAAACTTATAAAATTTTATAACTTAGAAATTACATAGTACAGAAATATTTCTATAATTGATCTAACAAGTAAGTTGATTTGTTGAGATTTAATATTTATTATTGTTGTTGTTATTTTATAACTTATAACAACAAAAAGTTGTTAAAATACAATGTATTTATATATCTAGCTTATGATGTATCCATTTCTAGCTTAGTTTGATTTTTTTTGTCATGTCACTGCTTGATTATTTTGTAAATATGATGAAATAAGCTTCTCTTCTGAAGATGAAATTAAAATTACTCTAATATATTAAGTAATTCCAGAAATCTTAGTCAAAGATGCTTTTTTTATATTTTTAGAAATATGTCTTTAAGTTATTCTTTAATTTATCATCAATAAATGCATGCAGTACATTGTGCATTATATTGTATCTTATCAGAAATAGATCAGAAATATCCAAATGTTTTGAATGATTTGTATTTTTAGCAGAAAACAAGATAATTAAATTATT